GTCCAGGCTCCTGTTTATGATGTCCTAAAGATATGATAAAATGTTGCATGTCTTAGCCAATTTCTAATTTCTCTAGAAAAAAAAAATATTGGCCCTTGAAAGCATCTACAACAAACCATTCCACAGTGCAAGCCACCCCCACACTCCCCAAATGCCCTTTGTCTGAGTAAGTGGGCAGCAACCTGCCTCCGACAGCTCTTAATGCAAAAAATGCAAAACAGCTAATCCATAGGTGATTCATCTTCAGGAGCCTTTTTCTCTCCCTCCCCTTCCTTGGAAAACTTCCCACTCCACACAGCAGAAACAACCTGGGAGTAATTCCCTGCACTGCTGGATCTAAGTCCTGCCCCAGCAGAGCAATGACACCCGGACACACAGAGTTTCAGGCTGCCATTCGGACATCTAAAGCTCCTTGCCTATTTTAAGTATTGTCTCCCTGAGACAGTCCTCCAGCTTAAATGGCAGGTACCATCATCACCAAGGACTTCTTTTTTATTAGTTTAGTTAAATTAGTTATTTAGTTTAGCTTAACACTCACTTAAAACTAAGAACTTTCAACTGGAAGTGAAACCTCTGAAAATGTATTTCTCAACCAGACCTAGCAGGGAAATGCTGATATCAATGGAATGGCATGGCTCCTCTGTTGCCAGGACTGCAAGACACAACCTACTGCATAAGGCAAGCATTTCAAAAGATTGTTCTGGCATTAATTTATCCTTGTAGCCCTAAAATAGTCTGTTTTGCAGTACTCTGCACAGAATTTCTGCACCTTCTTTGCACTTATCCACCTACCATTCATCACTCAGTTCCCCTACATTCTGTCTTCGTGATCCAACTCTACAGTCTCTTTCCCCCACTTCCCCAGGAACCAAACAAGTATCCAAAATGCATATTCAAAGCATCCCGCTTCTCCCCATTGAAGAGGAATGGTAAACAAACACAACTGGACATGATAGAAGAGGAAAACACATTCAAAATGGGAAAGAAACTTACAATTTATAAGGCTAGGAATTATTTTTTCTAGGTAGCAAGGCACAGCTGCTAGAAAAAATTGACATGTTTTGGGATCACAGGCATATCCTCAGATACCCAAAAGGAATGAAGAAGAAGCTGCATTATACTCGAGTTTTCACCCAAGTTTTATACTTGACTGAGTAGAAACCTGGATGAATCCTTGGGCACAGGATGCACTGATTTCTCCCAAGGCTGCACTAGTTAAGCCACAGTGGTCAACACGGTGCCCCACAGTCAAGTCCACCCACCATCTTTTGAGGAGGAAAGTTCTCTTGAGGTCAACTCTATAGCCAAGTTCCTCCAAATTTTGTTCATATTCTCATTAGGGTGCAGAAATGTTTCATGTCCTTGTAACTACACCACAGTTCAAACTGCACCCAGAGGTAGTCGAGCAAACAAGTTCAAGTCCCCCATGCTGCTTTGGGTGTCAGCAAATTAACCTGCTACTGCTTGAAGAGCATTGCAAACTTAGGTTTCAGCAGCAGCATGACACATAGGGTGTGTGTCAGCTTCCTGCAGACTGCTAGGCGTAATCAATACCTTGTTTTAAGGCACAGCTAAGTCTGCTCAAAAGACAACATATTGCCTGCTGGTGTTCCTGCTGTCCCTAGCTTTCTGCTCCTGGAAGCCAGTCTTCACAACTCTGCCTGTGTAGCTCCATATGAAGTTAGCTCTTGGGTGCTGATGAAGGCTCTTTCAACTCACAGTACTGCTTTCACACTGTAATCTGTTAGAGATCATTCCCAACAATTGCACAGCCAATGATTAAGTGTGGAAAGTGCAACTTTTCAACCATCACTGCTAAATCCAGCGCAGGGTGCTTGCAAACAACTGAAAGCTAGCCTGAGCATGTCAGCACAACACAAAGCTGCCTGAACAACTGTGGTTTGAGTTTGACGCCCCAAATCCATACAATCAGTTCTACAGTATAATCGAGCTCTGATCTCACTTATCCTGGGATTAATGAAGAGCAACATCTCCTGCAGGCACTGCTTTCGTAGGTTAAATCTAGTATAGAGAAAAGAGATTCAGGACCAAGAAATTAATCAGGATGTGTCTTGTGAGCACAAGCACTTGTAATGGTCTAATAAAGCTATCACGATCCCAGCTATTGGGGTAAAAAATTGAATGATTTATTGAACACACGAATGCTATTTAAGGGTCTTGGGGGCTTAACGTGCTAATGAGAAGGCAGGGTTATTCCAAACAGGGGTTTCCACAATCTATTAGCATTTCCATTAATGGGGGTGACACAAGGGGAAACATGGATTTACATTTCTCGGATCCAGTATTTACATTTGGGGAAAAAGTAAGATTATACTGGGGAAGGGTGGTCAGCTTTTCCTGAAATAAGGATTTACACATGGAGGAAGAAAACAATGAGATATCTGATAGCATCATGCAAAGTCTCTCTACTTCCTGCTGGAGGAGATCAGGACAACCCACATGAAATGAATGTCAACGGATCTTGTCTGGTCTTCCAGATTACGGGTTTTTTTCCCAGCCCCTGGGGCCCAAGGTTTCCTGTTTAATCCTAGCAGTTCCTTTTCTGTTGGTATTCAAATTTTTGACTGCAACCAGCACTTAGCAACAGCTTCTACTCCCTGTGAGTTTCTCTTACTGGCAAAAATGTGGTCTCAACATCAGCATGTGCTGGGACTCAGGGATGTCAGGGGGCAGGCTCACTTAGAATCATAGAAGCAGCTGGGTTGGAAGGGACCTCTGAGATCATCAAGTCCAACCCTTACTTCCTGGAGTACAGTCAGCATTTCCTGGATTCAAGTTGAACACAGGCAGAAATAACTCTTTGCATCTTGAGTGAGCTTCTGCTATTGAAAATGGCCTATTTTTGCATTCACTGCAAGATAAGATTGGACACAAGCTTTTCACAGGAAAAAAAATGTTTATTCTGCTTCAGTTATTTATTGTTCAGGAGACATTTGGAGAGAGTAACACGGGGAATGGCACTGCAAATGCTATCACCAAAACCAACAGGAAGTCAGGTCAATTTACTCTCCCAAATGTCTGACTTCACATCCCTATAGAAAAAAACCCCAAATCTACCCCTAATAAAAACCAAAGGAACAACAATAACAGTAAAAAACCCCTTCACTGTTGCTTTGAAACCTGCAAAGTCTACACTTCTACGAGAAATTTCTCACGTACAGAAGACACTGCAAAGTGAATGGGTGCAAGCAGGCAGTGAGAGACTTGTAGAGCCTGTAGTCCTTGGCCTTATGTCAGCCTGATATAAAAGTGGGGTTTTCTACTTCTGATGAAGCTCCAAAATTCTGTGAACTATGCTGAAGACTTCCAGCAGCTGTGGTTAATTAACCACAACTGCTTACTATTTTTGAGGCCATTGTTTTTTGCTTTGGAAACAATGTCAATTGTATCAAGTGTCAAGGAATTTTTTAAACCACACTCTATGTGAGACTTTTGCTTGCTGTTTAACATTAAATTGCACAGGATGAATGGAGAGACCATTAAGTGAACCAGTATAGTTTCTGGGAGCAATTTCAGACTGTTCCTCCAGACAACCATTTTTTTACCATTATTTCTCACATTAATAACAGAAAAGAAGCCTTTGTCCAAACAGGAAAACAAGCTACAGGTTTACTCTTACCACAATACACATGACAAAGGACATCTTTCTCTGGAGACTTGTTAAAAAGTTACTAAGAAGCAGACAGCATTATCCTGATAAATTCATTGATAGAGCAATGGAGGACAGTTGGCTTAGGAACAGTGACTTCAAAATAATCTTAATCTGAATTGGTTTATATATATATATATATATATGTGGGATCAGATGTTGACTTCTAAGGTAAATAAAAAGTGCATGTATATATCACAAAAAGACAAGACAAAGTTTTTTACATCTTAAGTATTTTTTTAATAAATTACAAACAAATATTTACAGACAACAGTAGAGGTAAGGTATCTAGCCCGACCAAAAGATCATTTGAAACGCAGTGCAGTTCCTGTAAAATGCCTAAATGGTATGCGTACTAATAAGCAAAGAGTTCATTTTCTGTACAACCTTCCTACAATAGGACATGGTAAGGGCACAAGTTACATGTGATCCTTCTCATACTGTTAGTTAAGAAGTAGAGGATAGAGGTCCAAAGGGTACAGGGTCACAGAAACAACACAGACTTCAGAAAGAAAAAAATTGGCCGAAGGGGCCAGAAGATACATGCACAAATGCATGCAGTGTAGAAAGCAAGGAGGCAGAATTTTAGCCCTCCACGAGTTCACAGAACTACAACATTGTTGTAGTGACTGGCACACGGTGAGGCAGCTTGTGTGACTGGAGCACTGCAGTAGATGCATAGCAGTTCTACAGGAAAGGTATGGAGGAAGGAAAAGAAGCTGCCCTCTCTGTGAAAGAGTGGCTCAAATGTACAGAGCTCTGATACAGAACAAGTGACAGGCTGAGTGCTTGTGGATCCCCATCCCAGGAAAGCCCAGTAGCGATGACTGGTTGGAGCATGCTACAGCCCACCAGATCAGGGTAAGGAAGGAGGTAAAGGTTTCTCTAAACAGCTCAAGGAAGTCTCTGACTCGCAGACTCGGGCCTGTATGGGGGTACTTCAGGTATCTGCTGGAAAGGTAACATGACAATTTAAACAGTCAAGAAGATTTCTGGGCAGCATCAGGAACAACTTCTTCACACAGGATACTGCATGTGCCAGCAAGGGGGGGTACAGCTGTATCTGCTGCTCACTGACAGAGAAGGATTGGATGGGGATGTGGTCACAAAAGGCTGCCTTGGCTGTAGTGACCAAGAAAAAGCTCCAGATACTGAGAGGAGTGGAGAAAGTGAACATCAGAGTACAGCCCCTATGGTTACAGAGAGCAGATTTCCACTTATTCAGGAAGAGAGTAGGTAGGATCTTGTGGGAGACAGTTCTGAAGAGCAAAGGAGCTCAAGAAAGCCATCAAGCCTTTAAGGAGGACTTTCTCCAAGCATGAGCACAGGCCATGCTGATAGTCAGGAAAATACGCAGGCAAATCAGAAGATTCAGCTTGGCTAAGCAGTTGTGGATGCCCCATCACTGGCAGCGTTCACGGTGAAGTTGGGTGGGGTTTTCAGCAACCTGGTCTACTGAATGACATCCTTGTCCATGGCACTAGATAATATTTAAGTCAAGTTTGCAGATGACACCAAATTGTGGACAAACAGTCAACATACTAAAGGACTGCCCGACAGAGAGACCTAGACAAGTTAAAATTAAAAAAGGACAAACGTAAAGCTCTTGGAAAGAGGAACCACTTGCAATAATACAAGCCAGGATGTGGCTGGCATGGGAGCAGTTCTTTTGAAAAGAAGCAGAGAGACATCAATAAGCAGCAAGTAGAACATGAGCCAGCAGTGTTCCCTGGCAGCAAAGGCGGACAACAGCACCCTGGTCTGTATTAACAGGAGCTTAGCCAGTAGATTGAGAGTAGTGATTATCCCCCTCTACTCAGCACACATTGATTAGACTGCATTTAGAATACTGCATACAGTTTTAGACCCCTTCAAGAAGGCAGAGATCAATTAAATTGGAGCAAGTTCAGTGAAGGGCTACCAAGATGGTCAGAGCACTTGTCCTGCAAAGAAGGAGAAGCTGAAGTACAGCTTGAACAAGCTGTACTTGTTCAAGCCTGGAGAAGAGTAGGCTTTGGGAGGGTGCCTAGCAGCATCCTTCCCATACTTACTGATCATTAAACTGATCATCAAGAAGACGGAGACAGTAGTTCCAGTTGGGAGAATGGAAGATAATGGGCATAAGCTGAAACGAGGAGAAAAATGAAAGGTAACATCGTGCAAAAATTATAAAAAACTTTAGATAAAAAATAAACCACTGCTAATAGTAGTGCAACTTTTTTCCAGTGCAACATCAAACTGAAATGTAGTTTAATCACAAAGTGAACCACTGTCAGGAGATGATCAGTTTGCCAGGCTTCTGCCAACTCCAGGAGACAGCTTTGTCTGGAGCACTGAGTTCCTGTTGCATAACCAAGACCAGAAAATGCAATTTCCATCCATCTGGGTCTGCTGAAGGATGAGCTGTCTTTCTTATGACTATAAAACAGTACTGATCAAAAATTGCATAAAAAGCTGAGCAGTTAGGCCTTAGCTCTTTCATTCTGTGTTAGTAGAGTACTAAAAACTGCATACAAAACAATCCAAAAGACTTTTTCCATGATTCAGCCTATTTATCTTCACACATTTAACACTAGAAAAGGAGACTGTCCCTTCTGAGAAAAGAAAAATAGGCACTGGAAACTGCTCAACTAGTCTTCAAAGTGGTTCTTTATGAAGCTCTGATAACTTCATTGCATGTGGAAGACCTTCAAGGGAAGAGGTAGCAGCTTCTTCACCACTGAATTTTACAGCTTCTCTTCCATCTTTGTTTGGTCCAAAAAGCAATTATTTGCTTATGATTTAAGATCTGAAACAAAAGAATAAGAAAAGCACACAGGTAAATTACTGTCTTTTCTTCTAGAAATTTAAGGAATTATATGAGAATACTGCAAGCTTTAAATACTACTAAAGTGTGAAGATGAATTAAGACACTGTCACATGACTTACAATAATCCAGTTAGAGCAGCCACGTGACCCATGGTATCTGATAGCCACTACATGTTTTACCCAAATTATCTGTTTATGATTAGACGTGTTCCTCTGCAACGGGAACATGTTAAGAACATTTATTACTTACTGCCAGCCACCTGCTAAGATGGTAATCTGTGAAGCTGTTCTGATTCGGTGACTTTGGATCACACAACCAGGCAATTAAGACCACTTCTATGCAAAGGTTTTATGCCTGTAATCTCAGTATCAGTTATGCATCACACATGCAAGTGATGCTGCTGCTATTTCTTCCACACAGTATATGCCAAGTGCTTTTGGAGTTTTCTCTTTTGACAATTGCAAATACAGTTCTTATTTGACAAGGAGGAAACTGAAGGCAAAGGGAAGTTACAGTACAGGAAGTTAGCATCCAGCAAGTCCAATATTATGTGCCCAACCTAACTCACCACATGCAACATGCATCAACCTCTAACCAGGCTGATTTCCAAGGAAGCATACACAAGCCCGCTTACATCGGTGTTTCCACCTTGGTGCACACACAGCAATCACCTGGATGTGCAGTATAAGAGCAACCACCTGGATGTGCCAAGGCACTATGCCCTTCAGTCTTTGCTTCTATTTTGATAGCACTATCCGCCCCTTTCACTAATCTCTAGCTCAGCACCACTCCAACCTAGGATAAGATAATGGTAACATATGATACTCATCTCTGTAGACAATGAGGAAAAAAAAGACGTCCCTAATCTGCTCCTCACAATGTTCCTAGATCAGCCTGAAGTATTTTTGTGATTTCTGTGCTTAAAATCCAAGCAGGTTTACTGCTTTACCTTCAGCTGACTTATGCCAGCTTGATGACAAGACTAAAGAACACGATCAAAATGCCAGATGGGGCAGATGTGGGTGTGTGCGAAATACTTCCTTGTGTCTATGCAGTGATAGGGTCTAAACACGAAAAAGGGTTCTCTCATTTTATAGCTGTGGTCATAAGCATCAGGTTTCATACTCCCCACAAACCATGCAAAATGTTCTGTTCTCACATGGCTTGCGAACAGCACTAAAGCAGGCACAGCTACATCTGACATCTCGGCACGATGTAACAACAGAACCATTTCAGATGTTAAAGGTTTAAGCGTGACGTAGGAGCACAGTTCAGCCAAATACACAGACTGTGCAAAGCAGCACATCACATAGGCCAGGAATAATACACTGACTTACTTCATTTGGTCTTCAGTATAACTCCTTGGTAACTAACAGGATATGACTCAGTTATTAGGAGATGTCACAGCTTCCTCTACAGTTGTACAGCCCTGTTTCAAGTCTGCTTCCTTGTTTCAAGACAGTTTCATCAGCAGCTTTATCCGCATCACAGAGTCAGGTTTCTTATACTTAGTCCTAACTCCCACCCTTCCACTTATCCATGTTTCTTCACATTCAGAGATTTTTTTTTCCCTTTTCAGCATTGTTTTCAGCAAATATCAGAATGTGATTGCTCGGCTGGTAATTCAAGAGAAGTATGAAACCTGGCAGAACAAAAAACTCTGCAGCAGTAAGGTGCCACTTGCTTCCACAACACTGCACATTTTGAGAATCTTTAAATGGATTATCTCCATCAGCAGGCTCCAAAGTGGGTGTGTATACAAGGCAATCCCATTGTGGTGCAGAGAAAAATATTTTTGCACCATTAATAAAATTTAAAAATTAAAAACACTGCTTACTTCATCCCTATAATTTTTAATTTTTTTTGGTGCATGTTTTAGAATGCGTATAATAATTATGGTAGTAATCATATATCATTTATAAATAAATATGTATAAATTGTGTGTGTATATTCAAAGTATTTTACTGATGTGGTGCACCATCAAAAAACTTTGGGGATGCTGATCTACAACACAAAAAGCAGAAACCAGTATGAGATACTCGTAGTTACACCATTCAAATAACGACTATATGACAGACAAAACAACATCTTTCCTTTTCTTTCCAGGAAAGAAAAATCATTCACAGTCAATCTGCAAACTTAATTTCTTAACAAATAAAAATGCTTTGATACACACTAGCTTATAGTACACATTTTTTAAAAACTTCTTAAATTTTTTTTTTCAACATTTAAGTCAGATAAAAAAAATTCAAAAGAAGAAGTTTCTGGTGTCTCAGTTAATCAGTTTGGAGACAAAACCAATCTCAAGCTGGAAGGCATCCGTAAGGATTATGAAGTCCAACTCCCTGCTTCTCTTGGGACTACCTAAAACTAAACCATATGACTAAAAGAGCAATTACTACACTCTAATTTTGGCTTCCAAAGTACCTGGTAGTGTAGCAGAAAATCACACTGAAGACTTATCTGTAGAAAATCCAAAATTCCTATCTGTGAAACAGGAAGTTTCCAGACAGATTAGCTGAAGCTATAGCATGGTGCTAGATCTCAGTCTTTGATCCTTGTGACAGCCAGGTGGTAAACATAGAAGTAATTTCCCCAACCTGGCAGATTCAATGGTAGCATGGAGAAGTGAAATCATCTGCCATCAATAACTGTCAATGTCTCAATTTCCCAAGGGTATAGTTGAAGTGCATGATCTGCTTAGAATTAATTTCACTGGAGTTGTGTAAGATTTTTTCAGAAGTCCAAACCAAACCATTCTGTGATTCTAAGCAAAACTGTGCATAAATATGTAATAGAACTTTCTCATTGCTGGTGTGTCTGCAAAGCTTACATGGACTAAGATGGTACTAAGAATCATTGCTGGACTTTGAATCCATCTATTGAGGGCAATACACATACTGCCTTACTGACTCCTCAGACTATAAGCCTTTATCACTTGTTAAGGCATGGAATAAAGTCAAAGTGCAAGCATGAGCAAGAGGTGATTTATTAATGAATATCAGTAACAGTCAATCCTGCAGTTTTAAACTGTGTCCTGCTCTGGGCCCCCCAACACAAGAAAGAACCTGGACCTGTTGGAACAAGTCTAGAGGAGGGCCACAAAGACGATCAAAGGGCTCGAACACCTCTTCTATGAAGACAGGCTGAGGGAGTTGGGGTTGTTCCGCCTGGAGAAGGGAAGACTCTGGGGAGACCTTGCAGAAGCATTCCAGTACCTTCCAGCTTACAAGAAGGCTGGAGAATGACTTTTCACAAAGGTATGGAGTGATAGGACAAGGGGGAATGGCCTTAAGCTCAAAGAGGATAGGTTTAGATTCGATATTAGGAAGAAATTCTTTACTATGAGGGTGATGAGGCACTGGAACAGGTTGCCCAGAGAGGCTGTGGATGCCCCATTCCTGAAGGTGTCCAAGGTCAGGTTGGATGGGGCTCTGAGTAACCCATCTAGTGGAATGTTCCCTGCTCATGGCAGGGGGACTGGCACTAGATGATCTTAAAGGTCCCTTCCAAACCAAACCATTCTGTGATTCTAAACTGGCTAAATTGGCCAGTCTTCTGTACACTTCCATCACAAACATCTGATTCCCTATCACATATCACACAGGGACACGCCCACCACACACACACCACTTCCCTCCTACTAATTCTCACTCTTGTTTTCTACCTGAGTGTAAAGGGGTCAGAGAGTCATACACAACCTGGCCCAGCATTGCCACTCCCAACCTCTGTGCCAGTCAGAACACTCTTCCAAGACACAGGGAGCTTCACTGTCACATACCTTCTTCACTGAGAGAGTTGTTCAGGTGCTCCTCATTTCCACCTTCTGCAACCTGTGTCAGTTCTGCAAGCACAAAGGCAATACTCAGACAATCCTGGCCCTCACAACACTGTGCCTCTCTGGCCCAGATGGATCAAGGATAATCTGATTGATATCTGGGACATTCATTTGGCATGAATAATAACCCTGGTCAACATGCCCCATCCCCATGGGACCACTATTCAACACCTCCCCTCTCACCTCCATACTTGACTCTGCACTGTCTTCATGATCCTTTATGGATCCTGCGAAGGCCAAGCATGGGAGGCACTCAGCACCCATGATGCCACCCATAACTGCACATCAGGAAGCATTAGGCAAAAGTCACAATGAACAAAGACTGTTCCACAGTACAGAGACTTACCGTCTTCATTTATGCTATAGTCATCTGCATGGTAGGCCAGCATGCTAATGTTTTCATTAAAGATGTATGCACAGAGATCAGAAGACAACTACAGTCCCCTGCCTTGCTCAGCTTCAAGCTATGGCTCTATTGCCTAAGACTGAGTTGCTAGTTACAACTCAACATGTTGCCAACATCGTCAGCTAACACCAAAAACCAACACTTTTCCCCCCAGGACAGCTTCCCATCTTGGAACAGGCACTCACCTTCCTCAGTTACACCATCATCAACTGCACAGTTGGATCTCAGGGTGCTGCTCTGCATGGCAGACAGTTCTGAAAAAGAGATCACAGTAGAGCTACAGTTCTCAGGAGTATCTCACAGCTTAACTTCACAGTGGTGTCAGTCATTGCTTAGAGATGAGTCACCAGCTACAACTCATAAGATAAACAACTCATAGGACAAACAGGTCATCATTCAGTTCTAGACAGGCTGCTCAAGACCTTCTCCAATCAGGTCTTAAAAACCTTCAATGGTAGAAACTCCATGATGACCCTGTGTAGACTGTCCTAGTGATTAGTTATACTTAGAAGCAGAAATCTTTTTCATCATATTCACACAGAATCTCTACTGCTTCAATTTTGGACCATCACCTTGATACCCTGCTAATACACCTTAGTAAACACGGTGGCTCAGCCTTCTTATCAACATCCCCATAGGTATTGGCAGTGCTGTTAAGTAGCTGAAAGCCTGCTCTTCTCTGGGGTTGAACAAGCTCAATTTCTTCAGCCTCCCCTTAGAAGAGGAATTGTGCTCCAGCCTGGTGGCACTCTTCCAGCACTGGGTGGGCCACAAACTGGATGCAATACTTCACATGCCATCTAACAAGTGTCAAGTAAAAATAACCACTTTCTTCAATCCACTGGCACTCCTTAGAACAGCCTAGGATGCTCTCAGCCTTCTCTGCTTCCAGAGAGCACTGTCGACTCATGGTGTACTGTCCATTAGGACTCACAGGTACCTTTCAGCAGAGCTGCTCCTCAGCCTGCACAAGTGTAGGGTGTTGGTCCATCCAGGTGCAGGACTTTGCATGGCTCCTGCAGAATTTTGTAAGGTTTACACAGCCCTCTACTCTGCCCTTATACTGACTGACTGCACTGCACATTTTGCTGTCATCGACAAACTCCATGACACTGTTTTCTCTCCCTTGTCCAGATCACCAAAATATACAGACCTCTGCAGTATTCCACTTGCCACTGGCATCCATGTAGAGTACAAACCATTAACCATGACCTGCAGGCTTGAGAAGCTGGCAATTTTTCTACCCACGTAGATAGACATCACTTCAGACTAGGATATCCCAGCTTAGGACTCCAACAATGCTGGGTACACTGCATAAAAAGCCTTGCTGAAGTCAAGGTATATGACACCCATTGTTCTTCCCTCATCTGCAAATCTAGTAATTTCATCCATGAAAGGCTGACAACTTGGACATCTGCAATTTGCACTTACTCCCCAGTCTCCAGCTTTCTTCTCTGACCAGAAACACACTGCAAGAAGATTTGTCCCAGGATTCTGCCAGGGACGAAAGTGAGCCTGACTGACCTTCATCATTAATGAAGATGTTAAAGAGGACTGGACCCAGTATGGACCCCTGAAGTACACTACTATATACTGGCCTCCAACTAGACTTCATACCAGTGATCACATCCCTCTGAACTCAGCAACCCAGCCAGTTTTCAGTCCAACTCACTGTCTGCTCACCTAGCCTATACTTTGTCAGCATTAGAGAGCTCTAAATGAATCTCTTGTTCAGCAAAGGCTCACATTTTTGTTGTTTATTCTTTTAAAGACAACTTAGCAGCAGATGTTCTCATTATAATGGCCATTCCATAGTGGTTTCAAGCCTCCCTGAGCTTTGGTTTTCCTAATATCCTGCTTACCTACCTAGGTAGTGTTCCTAAATTCCTCCACTGTAGTCTGTCCCTGCCTTCACATCTAGCATAAGCAATTTTTGCACTGGAACCCTGTCAGGAGCTCCCTGATTAGCCAACATGATTTTCTGATTTTCCTGTTTTCCTGACCATCAGCATGGTCTGTGCTCATGCTTGGAGAAAGTCCTCCTTAAAGGCTTGATAGCTCTCTTGAGTTCCTTTGCTCTTCAGAACTGTCTCCCACAAGATCCTACCTACTCTCTTCCTGAATAAGTGGAAATCTGCTCTCCGTAAGCACAGGGCCTGTACTCTGATGTTCACCTTCCCCACTCCTCTCAGTATCTGGAGCTTTTTCTTGGTCACTACAGCCAAGGCAGCCATTTGTGACCAATCCCCATCCAATCCTTCTCTGTCAGTGAGCAGCAGATACAGCTGTACCCCACCCCTTGCTGGCACATGCAGTATCCTGTGTGAAGAAGTTGTTCCTGATGCTGCTCAGAAATCTTCCTGACAGCTTGAATTGTCGTGTTGCCTTTCCAGCAGATGTCAGGGAAGTTGAAGACAGACAGACACAGAGAGTACTGTCTTCCACCACAGACAGTGAAGGACAGCCTGACTACATTTCACAAAGCAATCTCTCCAAACCAAGCTTCCCCTTGGCAAACCTTCCTCTTGGTTACATCAATTCTTGTTCCTCACTTAAGTGCTTCATGTGCACACACTGGAGAAATGAGGGCCTCCTTGCAGAGAACTCCCAACAGGCAGCATTAAACAGAAGCCAGCCCTTAGCAGGGACTGTCACTTGATCTGTATTCTCATCTCACTCTGACTGAGACTATTTTTTTTAATTTCTTTTTTTAAATCTCAATCATCTCCCAAATATACATCCTTCAAGTCCTTATGCTCTGCTGGGGTTATTTCTAAAAGTGATAAAAATACAGGAGTCACTTTGCCCTTAACTACAGCCTGAAAGCTGGTTAACTCTTCTCCTGAAACTGCACAGTGTTCATGGCACAATCCCACCCAATACTTCCACTAGGAAGCATTATATAGAAGTCACTCTGAGCCTTCAACTCCAAGCTGACAACAAACACCAAACTGGGAGGAGTGGCCAACCCCCTCAAGGGCAGGGAGGGTTAGGGCTAGGGTTAAGGACAATGCTCTCAGGCACTTGGTGCGAGTCTTGGGGTGTCCTGTGCACGGCCAGGAGTTGAACTTGATGATCCTGATGGGTCCCTTCCAAATCAGCATACTCTGCGATTCTGTGATGGGATCCTGGCCTCTTTGCCTACTGGGTCAGTATCACTGACTGCTCCATGGAACAGGCACTTACCTTCCTTATTTACACCATTGTTAACTCTCTGCTCGTCTTTCAGGGCACTGTTCTCCTTGTTCAATTCTCCGTCTGAAAAGAGATCAGAGTATAGCTTCAGTCCCTCAGGAGCACACTCCATTGCTTTTCCCCCTCACCAGCACAGGTCACTGCTCTGTGCTGCCCAGGGCTCAGCAGCACACCTCCCCTGCAGTTGTTAAGTAATGCTGTGCTATCAGCAGAAGTCCTGTTTAAAATTTCTTTGTACACACACTTCAGAGAACATCGTAGCCTTGCCTACTATTTCCCATCAGTGGAGCAGTGACTGCCTGTTACTTAAGTGCTGCAGGGTGTACTGTGCAGACGCGCACTAACTCCCCTTCGTGATGTTCCCACTATATATTGCTACAAAATTAAGTATTTCATTTTCTTTAGTTCCTCTATTGTCCAAACTGACAACCTTTATCTATGGATCTGATTCTCTTTTGCCTGAACTGTATGTTTCCCTCCTTTCTACTTTAAGACAGGCATAAAATAAACCTCCTTCTCCTATATCCACATCTATGTATGCAGACATAGTCACACAAGTGATAAGACAATCCCACAGTGCACCACACCTTCACCATCAGCTACACAATCCCTGTTTCTTCATATGAAGAAAGGTGTTCTACACCCATTACAACTCATGCAGGGAGAATAAGGGTTCTGGGTTTCCTTTTCCTTACTGTCAGCATTAGGGATTTTTTCCTTAATAGGAAAAAGTTCTGCCTTCTCCAACCCCTTTCTTATCAGCTACTTGTGGAAAATGGTGGAAGAGTTAGTGAATGAATGAATCAGTAGTGCAACAGACTGTGAAAAAAAAAACCACTTTTTTTTTCTGACTTGAACAATAAGGATCGATTTCCCTAACCCTTTCGAGTAAAAAGAACTTCTAGAAAAAATACAGGTCCCCAGATTTCCTTGGAATTTACACTGACTGTATTAAGAAAATAAAACTGGAGCTTTGCTTAACTGCCAGATGAATGAAGTCAAAAGACTGTCCTAGAGCATAAAAAAGCAAGTGGAAGATACTGCATCTAAAAATGGTGCTTCTCTAAGGAAAGAAGCCTGCTGTATCTCCCAAATAAGAATTTTGCAAGTTTGTAAGCATCCCATCTCTAAATTGGTGTGCTGATCTATTTGCCATCAACACAAAGCTTCGAAGCCAGAGCATTTTATTGTCTCAGGTCCTGTTTGAGGGTTTCTTTCCATCAGAAAGCAAAGCCCATCTACTCATGATGATATCCTATGAAAATACCCTTGCACTCTTTTGCCTGTAAATAAAATGTGACATTAGACAAAAGGGTAATTTGCTTATTTACTATAAAAAGAGGTTCCTTCATATACGCTTAGTTCTTCCCACAGTGAAAGTGGTGAAGTGGTTTCCAAACACAGCATGCAGCATCAGTCTCATCATATCAAAAGGGAAGGTGAAGCCCCTTTTTTGTGGTAAACAGCTTTGTGCTGTTTACCAAACACAAGGTTCCAGGTCTTTTTGACTTCTCATCTAGTGACCTACCCATCTACATTTACTGTTCCTAAGACAACAGGTCCTTCTAGGCCAACAGGGGAATGGTAAACTCTATACTGAGAACATGCCAATATGTTTAGGACTGCAAAAGGCCATGTGCAAAATTATTTCCTCCCTCCAAGTTCTCCTGTTTTAGGGCATCATCTCACTTGTTACCTGCTTCAGGCCTTTCGTTCTCACAATGAACAGGTTGTGAAAATGTAGCTGCAAGGAAACAGAAGTCCTTTTTACAAATATGTATGGAGACAGCAGAGTAGTCTGCAAAATGTGCAACTCAGTCTTAAAGTGACAACTTCATTATAACACTTCTAGCAGATACTTCTGAGAACCAGTATGTTATGCCACTTAAAGGACTCACAATTAATTTCAACTTTCCTCCAGCAACCACTTAAGGTCCCAGACCATGACCAACATTGTCTATACTTATGCCTACAGCTTTACAAAATCTTTCTGAAGTAAGTTTACTTAAGGTGATAAAGCTGGAGATTTGCCATAAAAAGCCAAAGAGAAGAGAATACACATTTGCTTTTTTTACTTCATTTATGTGTTGCACTAACGCTGTGACTTTAAACTCTTTCTCTCTGTAGAACTTAAAGAATCTCTAATAGGAACATTCTAAAGCAAATTTAGGCGCAGTACCAAAATGAGGGGTTTTGGGAGGCTTGGTTTTTTTTTTCTACCCATCCTTCTTTTTTAACTTTCAGATTCACCCATAGTCTCTAGACTTTAGTGATCTCTGAACCATGGGCTAGAACCACAGCTTTAGCAAATGTTTGAGAATATCAAATGAAGTTTTTTACTTAAAATCCTGCTAAACAGCTCATAAGGGAGGTAGAAAGGGAGGAAAAAAAATCCCAAACAAACCCAACGACAAAAAAAATCCAAGCCCTTGCTTTCATAGTGCTACCTCTCTACCTCTCTACCTGTAGCAGGCTCATCACCATCACATTTTTTTTAAATCCCCAAACTATAAAAACATTAAGAAACTTTGGAAATTAAATTAAAGACCAACTCAAGAAATTAAATCAAATATAAAGAAAACCTCTACAAAGCGACACAGTAGTTTGCAGTTCAAGAAACATCCTGCTCCAGGATGCTGACTGCAGCAGCTCATGTGAGATACCAGACCGAGTATCCCACATGAAGACACTGTTAATTCAACACCAGAACACTCCAATAGGGCACTTGATCCTGTACCTGATGGTGGGAGCTTTGGCCATTCCCCACTGAAACAGTGTTTGGTCTCGTAATAAAGTGTTTTTCAATAGTCTTCCCCTATTCTCCCTAATCTGCTTAACTGTTTTGGGGTTTAATTTAGTTTAGTTTCTAAAAACAGACCACAGTGGTCCTGGCAACAAGAATCATACATGTTAAAGCTGGAACACGTTAGCCAAATTCACCCTTGTGAAAGGAGCACAGACTAAAGGAGTTGTCCCCTTCCTTCTCTGCTCACCATATGGAGCAATTTCCATACTCCAACACATAGACCCAGAAGCCAGAGAACAGAATAATACTGCAGCAAATAAAAAGAGAAATAAAAAACAAACAAGCAAACAAACAAACAAACAACAACCAAAACCACCCAAACAAAACACTAAGGAAAAAAACCAAAAAACCCCAATGCAGATGAGAATGGACAGCAGAAGCTCAAGTGAAGATCTGGGCAGGAAGACAGGAATGCAGACCACCCTGAGACTCTGTACTGCCTGCAGAAAAACATCACAGAAATAAACCATGGGTGGGGAACAGACTGGCAACTAACAGAGGTGAGAAATTCCTCCACTGTCTCCTTCCCTCATCCTGGCTGTTACAAGAAGAAGGCAGGCCTGCAAAATGGAGTAAGAGTCAATCAAACATACTGCTAACATTTTTTTTTCTGAAACAACTGCAAGGGGTTAGAGAAGGCAAAGGAGACAAATGCAGCTTGACCCAATGGGTGCAAGCACGCTCTAGAATCACACACCAAAAGCAAAGACCATAGTTCTGCACACCAGACTAACAACGTGCTGAGCTAAATTAACAGTAAACTCCTGCCAGTCTTATTTGATAAGAAATTTCCATGGGGAACACTGGGAATAAGCAATGTATTACATTCATATTCAGCCCTAAACACTTGATACGAACACTTAGAAAAGTTTAGAAAAATAATTAACCAAGTTTCTCAAAGAATTTTGTATCACAGAATATGCTGAGTTGGAAGGGACCCACAAAGCTCATTGAGTCCAACCCTTAGCCCTGCACAGGACCATCCCCAAAAGTCTGGGAGTATCATCCAAACACTTCTTGAACTCTGTCAGGCTTGGTGCTGTGACCACTTCCCCGGGGAACCTGTTCCAGTGCCCAAACACCCCCTGGGTGAAGAATCCTTTTTTAATATCCAACCTAAACCTCCCCTGACACAACCTCAGGCCATTCCCTCAGGCCCTGTCACTGGTCACCACAGAGAAGAGATCAGTGCTTGTCCCTCCTCTTCCCCTCACGGGGAACTTGTAGACTGCACAAGCATGTAAGAATAAAAGAGACAGATAATATTAACCTCATTTCAGCATGTAAATCAGTCCTAACCCAAGAGTAAGTTCTCCAAAAGGCAGATTGCTCTATAGAGTGCACTTTTCCAGTCCTCATCCTGAGGCCAGCCCCAGTTCTTCATTGTTTGAGAGGGAATTCATCTCCAAAGACAGCTGTTGACCAGTGAAATCTGAGGTGATTCACTGTCTGTAACTCTGCCAGCCCCACTAACACATTCACTAAGTGCAGGTCCCTATAATTAACCCATATTGGACCTCAGCTGACACTTTGAGTCTGCATATGCCCACACTGAAAATCAATTCAAAAGCTTAGATCCTGCAAAAAAGTAAAGAGCAAATCAGAGTCCCTGCTCCAACCAACAGCAGATGTCTAAAAACATTAATACAGCAATACAGGTTTCTTACCTCTGTCTGAGTCATGCTGTTCCTGGCTGTCCACAGAGAAAAGTTGGTCATGTTCTCCTATAATGAAATTTATTTATTTTAGAAAGTATGTACTAGTCACTTGAAAAAAATAAGTACACTCTAAGAATAAACTTACTCCTTTACCTCTCCAATGAAAGACTATACTGACACAGAATAAAAACTGACAAGCCTAGATCAAATGAAAGCAACCATCTGATTTTCAGACATTTGTGACACTGTCTTACCTGAGCCATGCACTGGACTGTTCTTCTGAGCAACTCTTCCTCTTTCAAATTTAGCTCTACCTGCACCCAAACAAACAGAACACCTGGAGAAATGACTCAGAAATAAAAGTTTCTTTGGAAACTCCTTGACAGCCTCCATTCATTCCATCCCCTCCCCTATCCCCAAAACAACAAAAAAAAATTCACTGAGAGCATGCAACTGAATACTTGACTTGGAGAAAGAACAAAGAATGAAATATTGTTTTGGGGCAAAGACAATTAGTGAAAGATAAAAAGAATGGGCCTCTTGCAACAAGTCAGAACACATCTAATCAAATCTAAGGTTGAGCTTAATTTATGATTCTGAGTCTTGTACTTAAATCAGCAAATCTCTTTTGCTGTTTGATTATACCTGTGCACTGCTTATCCTACCAAGGTATAACAAGTTTATTTTCTTGCATATTCAAGCCTTCATTGTTTCAAGGGAAGTAACGGAATTGTTTTGATTCTATCTGATGGTCAGTTACAAGCACTTAAACACATGCTGAAAGAGGCTGGGGAATTTCCATCCTTGGAACTATTCAAAGTTTGCCTGGACAAGGTAACCTGATCTAGCTTTGAAGTTAGTCGTGCTTTGAGCAGCAAGTTGGATGAAATTTCCAGATATATTTTCCAACCTAGTTTATGATTCCATGCCAACTAAATGGAGAATGAGCAGGAAAGCATAAGGTCCACATGCAATATATATATCTGTTTAAGTTCTGATCAGAGCCTTCCTCAAGAATATGATCAATTAGTCCTTCCCCATACTCTTCACCCTACAGCCACCCCATCTGGAAGCCAACAGGAATTTTCCATGCAGAGCACACATAGGATGAAGAAATGTATTCCTGTTTGGAACCCTCTCAAACACAAAGAGGTGTGCACCTCTTTTTCAAACCAGAAGACAATCTGACACATTAACCCAAAAAGGTGGCAGCAGGAGATATAGAACTCCAAGATGATGGCAACACAGGCTGACAGGAGGCACAGAAGTCCCCATTTATCAGTTGATCACACTGAGTTGTCAGATTAGACTCAGCATTCAACAGGCCGTGGTACAATCCTGTCCTAACAATAAATCTGATCTTGAGGGCAGCTTTATCATGCGCTCAAAAAGGGCTGTCAAAAGACACTCAGGTAGGAACAGGAGAGGCTACAAATACTTGGTAAGTAGAAACAAACAGTAAATGAAACACCCAGAATGAAGGAGAAATGTGCAAATGCAAACTGCAGTGTTTCCCAGCACTCAGAGCCCAGTGCCCAAATGCAAGAAAGTTCAGTACATCATTTCCTTCAAATCCACTAGCCTTTGCCTAAATTGTACTTGTTTCTATTACTGTTTTTGCAAAATATCCCATGGTTAGAAACTTTCATACATTCCACAGTTCCTTAGATGAGCATAATCTTGAAGCACATAAACTCAATTAGGAAATGCTCTACATACCTCTTGTGCGCAGGAATACTAGGAATACTAGGATTCCTAGAAGTAGTATAAAGAGGAAAAAAAGCACAATAAGAATATTTCTGTTTCTTTTGTGAGAGCCGTATCCTTTAAAAAAAAAAAAAAGATTGGTTAGTTATAAAGCAACAGTTCAGTAGAAACACAACCCTGAGTACATTTTATAGCCTATTTGTTTTTTAAAAAGTAGTCTCAATAAATTAATGCACAAGAGTCAGTTAGTAGCAAAACCCTAAGCCAACTCCAGCACAGTTATGTGTTAAGTACCTCAGTTCAGTGAAGGCACATCACTCCTTGAAAGGCAATGGCTATTCCATTTTTTGGCATATGAAAGTCAGAGCCAGATTTCAGTCAAATGAAATTTCAGCAAATATCTTGTATTTGGTTTGTGTGGCAAGGTTTTGACGGCTTCTGTGATTAGATGCCAGAAGCTGCCCCCACGCTGGATGGAGCCCATGCCAGTTGGCTCCAAGACGGATCTGTTGCTGGTCAAGGCAGAGCCCACCAGTGACCGTGGTAGCGTCTCTGGGATAACACATCTAAGCAAGGGGGAAAACTGCTAGACAATAGCAGCAGGGAAAGAGGACTCAGAATATGTGATAGAAACAGCCCTGCAGACATCAAGGTCAGTGGAGTAGGAGGGGTAGGAGGTGCTCCAGTCACCGGAGTAGAGATTCCCCTGTAGCCCATGATACCCCACAGTGAGGCAGGTTGTCCCCCTTTAGTCCTTGGAGGTCCACAGGGGAGCAGAGATCCACCTGCAGCCTGTGGAGGACCCCACACTGGAATGGGTGAATGCCTGAAGGATGCTGTGACCCCAGGGGAAGCCCACACTGGAGCAGGCTCCTGGCAGGACCTGTGGCCCCATGGAGAGAGGAGCCCACACTGGAGCATTTTTGCTGGCCGGACCTGTGACACTGTGGGAGATCCACAACAGGAGCAATTTGGGAAGAACTCTAGCCCTTGGGAAGAACTCACATTGGAAAAGTTCAGAGAGGACTGTCTCCTGTGAGAGGGATGCCATGCTGGAGCAGGGGAAGAGTGTGAGGAGTTCTTCCCCTGAGGAGGAAGGAGCAGCAGAGACAATGTGTGATGAGCTGACTGCAACTCCCACTCCCCATCCCCCTGCACTGCTCAGGGTGGGAAAGTAGAAATATCAGGAGCGAAAATGAGTCTGGGAATAAGGGAGGGGTTTGGGGGAAGTGTTTTAGACTTGTTCTTGTTTTTCATTATCCTACTCTGATTTTGATTGGCAATAAATAAAATTAATTTTCCCGAAGTTGAGTCTGTTTTGCCTGTGACAGTAATGGCTGAATGATCTCTCCCTGCCATGAGGCTTTTGTCCTACTTTTTCCCCCTGTCCCGCAGAGGAGGGGGAGTGACAGAGCAGCCTGAAGGGCACCTGGCAGCCAACCAAGGTCAACCCACCACATGCCTCATTTCTAACAAGTTTCTAACACATAACTCCAGTGAAGGAAGAAGAATTCTACACCAGTAAACCATGAAAATTACTTTTGCACAGAAATGAGAAACTTTGTCAGTTAGGGACTGCTTTACACACCCTACAAAAGAGATGGTTCCAAACATGTTCTAACTCTGTTTAAAAAAGAAAAAAAACGCAAGCCTCAAGCTGAAGGCTTTTCCAAAGCAATAAGCAACAGGAGGAAAACTCCTCCTTCTAATTTTGATATCTCTCTGTGAAGGGGGAAAGAAGTATGTTCATTGATTCATGCAGATGATGCTAGATGAGAAATTTATTTTATCTAATGCTGCTAGATAACTCACTTGAAATGACTGAACAGTTTCACTCCAATTCATGGAGAGTAGTACATAGAGCACAAGTCATTAGCATTAATTACGGGAGACCAGAAGGTTCAAAAGAGATCTTCTAAGTTGGTCTCCTTCTGTTATTACTCAGTCAAGTCATGGCTGAAGGATTTATTCTCTTGAGATCCTTGCAAAAAGTATCCATTGGTGGGGATCAAACTGTCAATCTCATACCTTCCATCAACCTTATACACACTTTTAGCAGACAAATCACTTCTGATGCCTTTTACTCTTTAAATCCAACTCCCCTAGAAGTCAGGAGAAATCTCACAAAGTTCATCTGCTTCCCAGCCAAGCCTCTCAGACCTGTGTTTGCAACCTGACACATTCATTACCTTTTTTATCTGAAATGCATTGAATCAAAGAGATTTCAGAGCTTCTTTTCGTTTGTGAGAATGTAATGAAACATGTAGCGTTCTTGGTAGCATCAATATTCTTTAAAGGGATGGAAAATTCCTGGCTCTGAGGACCGCCTTGATCATTACCAAGCTTCCAAGTGTAATTCACAGGCCTCTGGAAATCTGATGTACAGTATAACACAAGGTTATCACCCTTGGTGGTCCAATTTATTTTAGGTTCTGAAGGGGGATCTAAAAGGAGAGAAAACATTGAGTTTAGTTATAAACTGCCTTGAATTTTAGCACAGTACAAGGGCTGGAGCAAAAAAAGCAGAAGGAGAGTGCAGAGACAAAAGTGTTCATGTAAGGTTTGTGTGTGCACATGCACACATGAGCAAGAGAGAAATGTGTTTCTAAAAGTAACCTGTAAACCACCTCTTTGGGGTTCTTCCATGCCTAGTTCAAGCCTTCTCATGGCTCACTGTCAATGGGACTAATATACCCACTGGTCAAACATATTTGCCAAAGAGTGCTAGTGAAGATGAGTAGATGTGCACAGGATGATGCCACAGATATTCAAGCACATAATGCCTGGGATAACACGGTCAGCCTGCTCAAAGGGTTTGGTTGTCTACTTGGAAGTACAGTGTGCCATCTACGCACACTAAAAGTCATTCCATGGTGAGTAATGATGGGCACACAAATTAGATGTCACCTCTGGAAATATGTTCAAAGTGCCTAAGCAACTTAACAACAGAGCCAAAGAACAGCCCCCCATTGTTTCTATTTGCTTTGTTGAGAAATAAACAATCCCCTTTCTAGATTTTTTAAAGTGAATAAAGTGGTGCACATTCTTTATGCAGTTCTTCCTCTACTTACCTAATACCTCAAGAATGAATTCTAAATAACCATCTTTCCCAGAAGTCCGGAAGACTAACTCATATGTGCCAGCATCACTCTTCTCCAAGTTAAATATAGTCAAAATCCCATTCTCCTTAAGCACACTCCTGCCTTTGAGAAGAGTTAAATATGTTGGTGGGTTTTGCCCATCCCATTCAGCCACTATATCCTTGTTTTTCTTCCAAGTAATATCCTCTATTCTTTGCTTTATTTCTACTGGAAAAGTAAAATTTTCTCCCACGATGCCAGACAACACATCCTTAGAGTAGATGAGCGCTACAAGAGAAAAAAAAACAAGTTACTTTAACAATTGTTTTATAAAATACTGCTTGACTAACACTGTATGCAGTATAAGACACATTCAAATTTAGGTTAAAATCACATCACAATGTTGCAAACTAAGGCATGTGTTAGTTTAGAATTACCCAAACACAGGTTGTCAGCACAATCATGACAGGCAATACAAAGGGATCCAATTTCCACATTCTGGTCCCAGGTAGAATCATTGTCCTGATCTTCTTCCCTATCCTAAGACCCTCTATCCTCAGTACTTTCCCTCTGTTCACTTGAATTAGGTCTCCTGCCCATGGTCTGGTGAAAAGGATGAAACTGTCGCCAGCAATATCTGTTTTAGCATCTTGTTGCAGAACACCCAGACTGAAGTTCCCTATGAGTAAATAAACAAATTTTTCCAGCATGAATATTCACAGTTATCAAAAAGCACACTTCTGACATAAAATTGCTACTTAGTTCAATGCACCTGCTCTGAAATCATGGAGGTATTAGGGATTTCCCCTGAAAAATGTCACTCAAACAAGTTTATTTCACAGACAACATATGTGAAATAACATCCAAACCTCTGAGATCTAGCAGAGCTGTCAGTAAGAAACGGAGCTGTCCAGAAACCTGAACTGCTAAAAAGGCCCAGATATTCAATGTAATTAAACACATAAGAAAAGAAGAGGAATAAGAGATTTTCCCTAATTTTTATTAAAAACAGGTACATTTATAAGAAAAAAAAAATCTACTGATGTAACAGATAAAATTTTGCTGTGGGGAGGGGATACTGTAAACCATTAGCATCTCTGTGTCTCTGCTTCTGTCTTCAGGAATCAACTTTCAAATAGCTCTAAAACAATCACAAGATTACTGCCACGGCAGACATTTATGTGGACATAGACAAAAACATGTTGATACCGAGTTCAAGTTACACTTGCATTAAAGACTCTATTCCAGAGACTACAGCTGGTAGCTCGTAACTTTTTACTACTAAGTTGAAGGAAGGGCATGATTAAGTTATAAATGAGGTCTCATATTAAGGCAAGATTCCCAATACGCACCATGTAAAACTTCCCTTTAAACAGTAACTGTGCATGATGAAACAGAAATACTTCTACTCCTCAAGCCAACTGTTTGCAAGTGACAGCTACTATTTTGAGTTTGTTTTGGTTTTGATTTTTTTATTTATTTGTTCGTCAAAGGCATCAAGTTAAGAACCCACCAATTCCTGTATCATTCCGGGCTTCCCTTGCTTCTGGTGTCATCATTGTTACATCAATGTTACATCATTACTACTGTTCACAAATCAGTGTGGATACTACAGCTTTATCACACCAAGTCACTTCCTCTCATTGTATACAAGTCCAGAAAACAAACTATAACCCATTTTGCTCCACGTCCTATCTCCTTTCCATATGAAAGCAGACAGAAGGTCCTTTCCCATCGGCAAAGAACAGTGCTAGCCAGTGTACAGTGTCAGCAGCTCTTCTGCTTGCTGCCAGACCATGGAACCAAGGACTTTCTCAGACAGGATACTGAAGCAATGAGAAACACACTTCTGTGTGCTTGGGCAGAGAACTGCACACACAGGTCTTCTCCATGCCCTACTTTTTATGGAACATCCAATTTGTTTGCAGTTTACCCACAAAAGTACTCTTCTTGTGCCATTATAGTTGCTACTTCTTGATGTCTGCACTTACATGGAGGCCTTTTCCAGGCACAGGAAATGTAAAAGCAAACAGGGTAAGCTCTCACTCCCACATCTTTTCAACACAACCTATGTGCTTTCTTTGTCTTCTATCCTGTTCAGGCAGATTTAAACATCTCACTTGCTCCCACTGCCGCAGTATGAGCATCTCTTTCTACCCATTCTCAATTAACAATTTCCAGAAAAGAAAAGAACACAGGGGAGCTCCAATACTTGTGTGAAGACCACAGGAAAACAAGATGCTGGGCAGGGTGGAACACTGTTTTGATCTGATGAAACTTGGAGTCTTGTTAGAGACTTGTTTCATAAAGACAATTTCTAGGAGCGTATATTTCTCAACACGTCATCTCTCACTGCCTAAGAACCTATAGTATTCCTGGCATGGAGGAAAACTCCCTGCTCTATGCACTGTGAAATTCTACCTCTCGGTATCTTTGGCTCACAGACACAAACAAGCTGTGGTGGCTTAATATCAGCATGCATAAGCCAAGCCGTGGTGGCTGCTGACAAGAGCAAGGTGACATGACTTCCTGAAGGAAAGGAAGCAGCCATTTGCTGGGGACTAAGAACACAAGCAAGGACAGCCACCACTGCTCAGCCAACTGCTAATAACTTCCTAAGCTTGGGGGTCAATCCAGGTAAACTCTCCACGTCTTTACTCCCTTTAAGTTAGTCATAAGAGCTAGGTTGAAGCTATAAGTGAAAATCTGTTGCTCCTTCAAGCCCAGAAATGAGACAGAAGGAAAGCAGAGTTGAAAAGAAAACACATTTTCTCTCCACAGGTTCTGCTTGGCACGTAGGAGCGCTGCTCTCTTCAGTGCACTCTCCTCTTGCTTGCTAATGAAACAAAGGTTTCACAGCAAGGAGTTGAAGAGTTCCTGCCTAAGGAAACTCGAGGCTTCCAGCAGCAGAACAACGAAAAGTTTACTCTTCGGATAACCGTCATCTCCTGCCATCTAAAAATGCCCAAATTTTATTGGACATTTTGGTTTTATTTATATTGGTTTTATTTCCCTGCTTCATTGGTCTAGTGAAAATGTGAAGAAATCTCCCACTCAATCTGTCAGCTTCCTTTTTTTTCAAGGAAATCATACAGAAATGTTGCATAAGGTCACAACCACGTATGTTTGAGCTTCTGAAGAAAGCATGTGTCATGACATTTTTCTAAATTTCCAAGGAACCCTTCCCCCTCTTTTCTACGTAATTTTATATGGAAATAGATTTCACAGCAGTTTGCTTCTCTGGTGTGAGCAAAGAGGGAGAAATGACAGCCAAACACTCTCACACAATCTTTTTGGAAGGCTAGAAATAAGAATGATGTTTCTCTGCTTTCTCCCTCTCTCCTTATCGTAGCCTATTATTCCAAGATAAAGTTTACACAACAAAGTAGTAGGGTGCTAAGGCCTTCAGTCATCATCATGGCTAGGCTTCACGAACAAAGATTTGGGAAAGGCCTTCAGTAGCCTCTACAGAAACCATCAGATCACCTGCTCCTGTATCTCCTAAAACCCACTCCAAATTCCTTATGCCAAGCCTTTTTGTTATTCCCTTCCAAACAAATCACATGATGAAAGTGTCACAGATAAAGAGAAGGTAACATTGTGTGGGCAAAGCCTCTTCTGCAAACCCACCACCTCATCTTGTCTCCATCATCTTCTGCTCCCATTTCTCCAGCACCCAGATCCATGCAACCCAGTGTGCTGTACTTGAGTCTTAATATTCACCTGACTAATTCTGACTCTGAGCATTTAAGCAGGCTAAAGGTATCTGTGCTGTGTTCAGACTGAGTAAGTAGAATTTAGTACTCCATTTATCAGCAATAAATACTTCATTACTATATTTGTCTACCTGGTTTGACTTTCTTCACTAGTTTTCTTGGAGCTGATGTAAGGCTTAGTTATTCTGGAGGAACGTCCGTAAGCTAATTCCCTTTTTATTTTTAATACTATCATTATTTTTGGGGTTTCAAGTACCTATTTGAAATGCATATATGTATATATTAAGTCTATAAAAGCAGCAGTTAGACTCTCCTATTACCATTAAGACACTAACATTCCACCTGCTAAAGCAGGGTGGAAAAGTCCTTACTGGTTAACTTATAGCAAGGAACTGTTTGCCTTAGGAGATGAGCTTTTTAAATAGTGGATATTTGTTTTATTTTTTTGTAACTTCCCAACTATCCCTTTTCTAGGCTTTTTTAAAATTGTGAATTCCCCCACCAACTGTAAGCAGCAGACAGTTAGGTTCCCTCCTAACCCTCAAAACCACCAGGTGCAGAAAAACCTGAAATAAATGTTCAGCCCAGAAGGACTATCAGAATATTCACCAATAAGAGGACCAACAGTCCTTCTAATTCTCCCACAGGCCACAAACACAACCCACTTCCCAAACTCCAGTAAGAATGCACTTAGACCCATGGTATAAAAGCGCAGGCAAAAGCTACAGCCAGGAGGGAGAGAACACAGATGGAAAAAAGCTGTAGCAGCAACCCAGGCTGTTGCAAGATAAAATCAGATTCGTGCAGAAATGACTGCAAATCCTACTTGTAACATCAAAAGCACAGCTTTTCACTCGCATACTGAAGCATATTCACAGAGATGTGTGTTGCTATCCCTGGACAATACAGGGCCACCTGCATCTACAGAGCTCTACACATCAGCAAAGGCAGGACCCAGTGGTAGCAACCACCAACAGGTCTGGGTCCCTCCCCAGCACAAAATGCATACCTTTGGTCATAACCCTCAGCAGGGGACTAACAACAGGTAGCATTCCCATGCAAAAGTTACCCAGTAATTTTAAAACTATGCTGCTGCCCAAAAGCATGGGGATGTCTTTTACCCATTCTTCCCTCTCTTTTGTCTTTGCCTACCTGTTTCTGCAATGAAATAGTCATGCAGAAAGTGTAATCTGCTGAAACTTGACACACACCCTGACTCCAGTGGGAGTCCCCAGTGCTCATGCATGGGATGGAGCAGAAGTGAGTGAACTCAGGAAGAGCATTCCCTTGGCCAGCAGCACTGGCCTGGTTCAGAGCACAGTGACTGCACACACACCACGGAGCAGGCTTCTTAAAATAGCTACCAGGAAATAACAAGGACTGAGCTGCATCTTAAGGACTGTTTACTTCCATGTTTACCCACTTCACTGAGGGTACTTGCCTCTCTCCACTCAGCATTCACAGTCCTAAACCTTCCTAGGATAGAGGTAAAGCCTTTTAAAACACTATCAGAGATGGAGATGCTGCCTCCTGTGTCTCCTTAACTCACTGGTCAAACTGCATGGTCAAGAC